TTTGGTTTGGAAGCATGAGGGTTGGCGCGGGTTGTACGGTGGTCTCACACCACACCTCGTGCGCTCGATTCCGTCTGCAATAATAACTCTTGGCGTATACGAGTTTGTTTTGCGGATGGCCAACTCCAATTCAGTGTGACAGGCTTTAGGGAATCCGTGTGGGGACCGCCATACAAGCATTTGGCAAAGGGAGGTGGTGGACTGTCGGCAAAAGACGTGGTTTCTACATTGTACAGTGAGGACCCATGAATGCAGTGTACGATAGTTGGCGGTAGATATAACTCACATCTCTCCAATACTCGAGCTTTGGGGTTTGGGATAACTTGGGTCCTCCAAAATGAGGTATGTCTAGGCCTCGTGTTCTGTGTGACTTTCTTGGACCCCGGCACGTCACAAAGAGATTCTACACCTTGGATAGATTGTCGACGAGGTTTATGGCTTGTGGCTTCACCTGAAAAGGTTCTAGCTGCTCGTCGTTTGACGGTCCCGCGTCACTCTGATAGGTGGAATGGACTAAGCAAGTTTTGTTGTGGAGTTCTGGGCCGATGAGAGGCACGAGCTGGTGTAAAGATGTCCTTGAGTTGCGATTTGACTTGAGTCAGCTTTTCAGGCTTAATGCAGCGCACAATGTCTCCTGCTCTGCATTATCTTTGTCAGATGGTGATTCATGAAGCGGTGTTTCATCCAGTTTCCTTGCTAACTTTATATCAAGGGACTAGGATCATATATTCGAGTGAGTCAAGTACTTTGGGAATGTGGCGGTTTATAGCGCCCTGCCTGACTGGACTTGAAGGCGTAAGTTCCATCTTCGCGGGCATGGGCGCTTCCGATTCTAGTCCCTCTAGCACTGTGAAATGCCAGCGCAATGACGTCCTGTGTCTCGTTCGGTTCTTTGCTCGACCTGTGAGCCTTTGCACCCCTCTGAAGCATTAGCATTTGCCTGCTACCCCATTTCCCCTGTTAGCAAAATACAGATCTAGCTAGCTCTTGGTCAGAGCTACTTCTTTCCAATACATATCCTATCTGCAGGATCCATTTCCGGTTCATCCTGCGGTCCCAAGGCCGGGAGCCCTGAAATCAACTTTTCGACGCCAGAACAATTACATGCTACTAAGAGCTTCTTCTGGCTTTTGGGAGTAGGCACCCCCAGCCCGCAACAGGAAGCTTGTTTGCACCAGCACATCACCCGGGCTCCTTCTAGGAGCCGGTCTCGACTCTCGGGTGAATTCTCAATGAACAAGGATGCTGCTTGTCCCTATATGTGGCCTTTTCTTGAATTCCGTTTCTGGCTTCATCCACTGTGCTGGACAGGCGAGATCCAGGGGTTGTCGTTGAATGCCGCTGCAAACACGTTGTTGGTGGTCGCTTCTGGCGACTGGGGCAAGGCCCTCCCAGCCAGCATCTCGCTTGCTTACTTACCTACATTCCCTGTCTTCAGCATTTGTTTCTGGCTCTCACCAGCAGCCAGTTTTGGCCCGTCCTCCTAGCCACGTACCAAAGATCTTACTGGCCACTCCATCTCCTACGTCGTGTGGCTGTCTACTCGGTTCAAGCATTTCCTGTATTGATTCAACAGATGAGATTAGACATGCAGTTTCGACGCCGAGAACCCGGAGGGTTAAGCTATCGCTCAGATCTTAACAGAGGTGGCGCAGGCCAGTTCTATATCCTGGTTTCTCAAGCTAGGACAACATTGTGATGGTGAGGTGCTCGTTGCATCCCGCTTATTGTTAATGCTGACGACACCATAGACCAGGATTGCATCGTGGTTCCCTCGTCGCTAGCAGCAGCTCTGTTCATAGTTGGAGACATCAACTTGCTACATCTATATTTTGGCCTACCAGAGGAAGCGTCACTTAAATCAGGAAGGGCTGCGATGTTTCATTGGGAATCAGTTTCGAATTGGGCACCCATTTTGAATCACCTGTGGACTAATCGGTCGCACGTGCCTGAATTATGTTCCTTACAGACAAGGCCCCTGTCGTATCCGGCGATCAAGGGACGACCAGGCGTTAGACATGCTGCCCTTCCTATGGCTTCTTTTTCCTACCGTACTTTACACGAGCATTATCCGCATAGAGACCTCCTTTTGGACCGGATAGAGCCAGATGCCAGTCACTTCCGCATACTCTCCTGCCACGACTGCGTCTAAATCATCGTCTGCGAACAGCACGATGCCCTCGTTCTGTATTCTTTCACCCTTCGCTTTGGTCGCTACGTATACGAGCACGGCGACAACATCGTCAGACGTATCGTGGGACTCGAGATTGGTGGCATCTACTCCGTCGTTGACCTAGCCCTCAAGCCAGCCCCGTTACTATGATAACAGCGTGGTTCGTACTAAACTGGCAGCGCTCTGCAAAATCTGCGGTTTTTACCCAGCTGCCACCTTGTCTGTCACATCTTCCCTGACCGGGATCTTTTGCGGAAACAATAAAAGAGTAGTTGTCACGGCATGTAGGAAGCCGTATAACAGATGTCCTCTCAAACGCCGCCTGCTTACGCATTCTCGTTCGGAAGGATTTCGAACCGCTGAGGTTGTGGTCGTGTGTTGTGGGTTGGTGGGGTTAAGAGGGGCAAGGCTCGTCGTCCGTCTTTGAGTGGAAGACTCGGCGGGGCGCCAGTGGCGATGGAAGCGTTATCGTGTACAAATGACTGGCATTAAATTTGAGACCTTGTGTAGTGCTCGGGTGGCGTCACTGCCTTTTTTGCCAGAATTTTTACGTGACAGTGGTCGGCATTTTTCATCATCTGGAACAGGGGGCTTGCGAAAAAGCACCGTTGACTCGGCTTGAAGTTTACCAAGCGGTCAACCAGCATGATCCAAACGGGGTGCTCACGAAACGACTGCGGGAGTGGGCTGTGGGGGTTAGTTTGGAGGCCACTGTGGAATCTTGGGATCCTGTCACCAAGACCTTCAACTGCTTCCTGTGCAGCGGTCGCTTCACAAGCCTGAAGTCGTTGAATCAGCACCTCAAATCGCCCAAACACCGGCAGAACCTCTATCACTGCCCGAAACACGGCTATCCCAAGGAGTTCAGCACACTAGCAGCCGTCACCGTGCATTTGCAGAGCGGGAGCTGCCATTTCATGACCCTCGAAACTGTTCCGGAGACGGCGGCGCGAATCTTTAACCGCGGACGCATGATTGCCTTCTAAATAGAGTTGTGGTCGGGGCGAAAATGTAGTCATTGGTCGAAATCGATTGGGAGACGGCATGGAGTGGGGCATCGACGTGCTTGAGTATCCGTACCAGCAGTGATGAGGAGGGGACTACAGATGGATAACTTCGAGCTATCTGGAAAGGACGTCAGACGGGCGAGGCATGGAGCTAGTACCGTTCACTTATCAGTTATGATGGCCCCGATCCACGGAGCCCCAGCTGGCTTTCAGCCTTCGCAAAGCTGACCCATGCCATGTAATTTTCTTCATACCGCTCATACGGGTTTTCCTTCGTCTGGCTGACAGCAGCCAAGGTCATCGTAATCGCGAAGGGTATGCACAATATGCGTGCAGACCACATCCATTAAATTTCCCAGCAATGTGCGGTGCTTTCCCTGAGTGGAAAAGGCCTTGCATATGGCACCAGCCGAATTTAGAGCAAGCGCGTGCACGCCCCCAACTCATCAAGGTATCAATGTCCTCTATGGCGATTCCTCCGCAATTGCGTCTCACCTATCCTCACATAGTGGTCCCTAATAGGCTGACAGCACCGTCGAGCACAGTGCAACCAATCAATTCATAGTACCGCTCCGAAACGCTCGCCACCTGGCGTGGCTCAGAAGGTGAAGCCAGCAGTGTAGTCTCAGTGCCTACATAACCGACCGCCCCACCCACATTCGGCATAAGTTGGGCACCAGTTTCTCCTCGCCATTACCAACAGTGCACTTTCGTCTCGGCGCCAGATGAATTACACCACTACACCAACATCTATAATGATATCGTCACCTTCCTGCGCATTTTCGTGTGACAACGGTCGGCCACGCTGCCTGTCGCGCGATGACTACATTGATTTGAGGAATACTCAAGACGCACATCTGAATGCTGAGTTTACCTTCATCCGCGAATCCATATTTCGCCTCGAAACGAAGACCGACCGCCTCGAAACGAAGACCGACCGCCTCGAAACGAAGATCGATCACCTCGAAGAGAAGACCGACCGCCTAGAAGAGAAGACCGACCGCCTAGAAGCTGAGATGCGCCAGTTGCACGCCTACACTCGAAATAACGCATTAAGGAATCCCACTTTGCCTATCCGGCCCGTCGTCGTGTACAACCCTGAGCAGGGCATTATCGAACCAAAACCCACCCACTTCCCTCGGAACGCGAACGAATTCTACTCCCTGAGAGACCCGCCATCGGATCGTCACCGCTCCATGTTGGCCTACCTTGCCGTCTTCTACGATGTTCAGTTGAGGACTGCCGAAGACTCAGAGGGGGAAAGCAGCGAAGACGAAGTTCTCCTGGACAGGCCTGATCTAGTAGTGGAGAAGCTAGAAGGCATACTCGGATTGAACGAGGACAAGTTCATCAAGTTCAGACAGAGAGCCCGGGAAATAGCAGCACGACCGCCATCCAAACCTATCAAACGTTCTCAGGTTATGTTACC